GAAAGTATCTATATCCACAGTAAAACGAGTCCTAGATTGACATAACCTGAAAGGCCGCTCAGCAAGGAAGAAGCCACTGCTCCAAAACCGCCATAAAAAAGCCAGACTACGGTTTGCAACTGCACATGGGGACGAAGATCGCACTTTTTGGAGAAATGTCCTCTGGTCTGATGAAACAAAAACGTATTGTGGGAAGCTTGTGGAAGGCTACCCGAAACGTTTGACCCAAGTTAAACAATTTAAAGACAATGCTACCAAATACTAATTGAGAGTATGTAAACTTCTGACCCACTGGGAATGTGATGAAATAAATAAAAGCTTAAATAAATCATTCTCTCTACTATTATTCTGACATTTCACATTCTTACATTAAAGTGGTGATCCTAACTGACCTACGACAGGGAATCTTTACTAGGATTAAAATGTCAGGAATTGTGAAAAACTGAGTTTAAATGTATTTGGCTAAGGTGTATGTAAACTTCCGACTTCAACTGTATATTTTATGGACTGTTACAATAATGTATATATTTTTATTGTCATTTAGCGGGGGAATCGAACCCACAACCCTGGCGTTGCAAACGCCATGCTCTACCAACTGAGCTACACGGGACTATATACAGTGGGGAGAACAAGTATTTGATACACTGCCGATTTTGCAGGTTTTCCTACTTACAAAGCATGTAGAGGTCTGTAATTGCACACAGTGCACTTCAACTGTGAGAGACGGAATCTGAAACAAAAATCCAGAAAATCACATTGTAAGATTTTTAAGTAATTAATTTGCATTTTATTGCATGACATAAGTATTTGATACATCAGAAAAGCAGAACTTAATATTTGGTACAGAAACCTATGTTTGCAATTACAGAGATCATACGTTTTCTGTAGGTCTTGACCAGGTTTGCACACACTGCAGCAGGGATTTTGGCCCACTCCTCCATACAGACCTTCTCCAGAACCTTCAGGTTTCGGGGCTGTCGCTGGGCAATACGGACTTTCAGCTCCCTCCAAAGATTTTCTATTGGGTTCAGGTCTGGAAACTGGCTAGGCCACTCCAGGACCTTGAGATGCTTCTTACGGAGCCACTCCTTAGTTGCCCTGGCTGTGTGTTTCGGGTCGTTGTCATGCTGGAAGACCCAGCCACGACCCATCTTCAATGATTTTACTGAGGGAAGGAGGTTGTTGGCCAAGATCTCGCGATACATGGCCCCATCCATCCTCCCCTCAATACGGTGCAGTCGTCCTGTCCCCTTCGCAGAAAAGCATCCCCAAAGAATGATGTTTCCACCTCCATGCTTCACAGTTGTGATGGTGTTCTTGGGGTTGTACTCATCCTTCTTCTTCCTCCAAACACGGCGAGTGGAGTTTAGACCAAAAAGCTCTATTTTTGTCTCATCAGACAACATGACCTTCTCCCATTCCTCCTCTGAATCATCCAGATGGTCATTGGCAAACTTCAGACGGGACATGCGCTGGCTTGAGCAGGGGGACCTTGCGTGCGCTGCAGGATTTTACTCCATGACGGCGTAATGTGTTACTAATGGTTTTCTTTGAGACTGTGGTCCCAGCTCTCTTCAGGTCATTGACCAGGTCCTGCCATGTAGTTCTGGGCTGATCCCTCACCTTCCTCATGATCATTGATGCCCCACGATGTGAGATCTTGCATGGAGCCCCAGACCGAGGCTGATTGATCGTCATCTTGAACTTCTTCCATTTTCTAATAATTGCGCCAACAGTTGTTGCCTTCTCACCAAGCTGCTTGCCTATTGTCCTGTAGCCCATCCCAGCCTTGTGCAGGTCTACAATTTTATCCCTGATGTCCTTACACAGCTCTCTGGTCTTGGCCATTGTGGAGAGGTTGGAGTCTGTTTGATTGAGTGTGTGGACAGGTGTCTTTTATACAGGTAAAGAGTTCAAACAGGTGCAGTTAATACAGGTAATGAGTGGAGAACAGGAGAGCTTCTTAAAGAAAAACTAACAGGTCTGTGAGAGCCGGAATTCTTACTGGTTGGTAGGTGATCAAATACTTATGTCATGCAATAAAATGCAAATTAATTACTTTAAAATCATACAATGTGATTTTCTGGATTTTTGTTTTAGATTCCGTCTCTCACAGTTGAAGTGTACCTATGATAAAAATGACAGAACTCTACATGCTTTGTAAGTAGGAAAACCTGCAAAATCGGCAGTGTATCAAATACTTGTTCTCCCCACTGAATACCAATTGCACACACTTACTTTGCATTAGGCATGTAACTAAATATGATCTATAATCTGTCCAGTCAGTCTTCTATAAGTATAGTGAACAAAAATATAAACGCAACATGTAAAGTGTTGGTCCCATGTTTCATGAGCTGAAATAAAAGATCCCAGAAATGTTCCATACACACAAAAAGCTTATTTATTTCAAATGTATTTCAAATTTGTTTACATCCCAGTTAGTGAGCATTTCTCCTTAGCCAAGATAATCCATCCACCTGACAAGTGTGGCATATCAAGAAGCTGTTTAAACAGCATGATCATTACACAGGTGCACCTTGTGCTGGGGACAATAAAAGGCCACTATAAAATGTGTAGTTTTGTCACACAACACAAAGCCACAGATGTCTCAAGTTTTGAGGGAGCGTGAAATTGGCATGCTGACTGCAGGACTGTCCATCAGAGCTGTTGCCAGAGAATTGAATGTTAATGTCTCTACCATAAGCCGCCTCCCATGTTGTTTTAGAGAATTTGGCAGTATGTCCAACCGGCCTCACAACTGCAGACCAGGTGTAATCACGCCAGCCCAGGACTTCCATATCTGGCTTCTTCATCTGCAGCATCGTCTGAGACCAGCCACCCAGACAGCTGATGAAACTGTGGGTTTGCACAACCAAATAATTTCTGCAGAAACCGTCTCAGGGAAGCTCAATTGCGTGCTCGTCGTCCTCGCCAGGGTCTTGACCTGACTGTAGTTCGGCGTCGTAACCGACTTCAGTGGGCAAATGCTCTACTTCGATGGCCACTGGCACACTGGAGAAGTGTGCTCTTCATGGACGGATGAATCCCGATTTCAACTGTATTGGGCAGATGGCAGACAGCGCGTATGGCGTAGTGTGGGCAAGCGGTTTGCTGATGTCAACGTTGTGAACAGAGTGCCTCATGGTGGCGGTGGCGTATGGTATAGGCATGCATAAACTACGGACAACGTAAGGCATGCATAAGCCTGATCAACTCTATTCGAAGGAGGTGTCGCGCTGCATGAGGCAAACGTTGGTCACACCAGAAACTGACTTGTTTTCTGATCCACGCCCCTACCTTTTTTTTAAAGGTATTTGTAACCAACAGATGCATATCTGTATTCCCAGTCATCTGAAATCCATAGATTATGTCCTAATGATTTTATTTCAATTGACTGATTTCCTTTTATGAACTGTAACTCAGAAATTGTTGCATGTTGCGTTTATATTTTTGTTCAGTGTACAATTTGTGGGGCGCTGCAGACTAAAGATCTGTTATATTGAAATATCAGGACTTTGTTTCCAGTCACATACAGAATTATCCAGGTCAGGTCTTGCTGGAAAGTAAACTAGGGGCCAGAATGAAACTCAAACCCCTACACAACTCTGTCTAAATTCTCTTTCATAGCAGACACCTGATCTACAGTCATTAGATTATGTATGCCACTGATCAGACGCTATTATCTAAAGCAGGGTTTCCCAAACTCGGTCCTGGGTCCTGGTTATTTGAATCAGCTGTGTAGTACAGGGGCAAAAACCAAAACATGCACCCAGGGAGGGCCCTAGGACCGAGTTTGGGAAACCCTGATCTAAAGCAACTTACAGTTCAGTGAGTACATACCTTTTTAGTAGGCTATGTGTGTATTTGATACACCCAGGAATTGAACCCACAGCCTTGTGGATGCTAGCGCCTTGCACTTGCCAACTGAGGTACACAGGACAACAGATAAGTAGAGGAGAAGCTAGCTATCCACAAGCATCCATCATGAAGTAACAATTTCTGTCGTTCACATGGTGATCAGGAAAAGGCTTATGTGGATAAACTGAGATGTCAGATTAATGTAGATGGATGATTGATTGAAGGATAGATAATCAAACTAGGTTAGGGATTGGGTTGGAATTACTATAATCTTTCTCACTGCAGTTCAACAGGTTAATATCTGATTAATCAACTAGGCTACATAAAGTGAAGATCATCTCACTCCCCTCCACCCCTGTAGACACCTGCTGTCCTTAAATCACATAACCCACACACTCATGTTTCGAAGAAGGAAGTGTCGCCTTATTCTCAGATGTTGCCCCAGTTTACAAGCAATCTCTTTAAAACCCCTCTCCTCTCCAGCCCCCTCTTCATCGGAGATGTGAATTATTGACAAGCTCCCCTTCTCACTCTCCTTCTCTCCTTCTCTCTCTCTCTCTCTCTCTCTCTCTCTCTCTCTCTCTCTCTCTCTCTCTCTCTCTCTCTCTCTCTCTCTCTCTCTCTCTCTCTATCTCTCTCTCTCTCTCTCTCTCTCTCTCTCTCTCTCTCTCTCTCTCTCTCTCTCTCTCTCTCTCTCTCTCTCTCTCTCTCTCTCTCCTGTCAACAGCAACAGCCCTGAACAATAGGGCCACCCGTCTGTCTGCCTTCTGAGGGGCATCTGGTCCTCTCTGTACGTTTTCCACCTGCCTCAGACAGGTTATTGATATAACAACAGTGGGGTGAATAAAGACAGATCTGCTGCTCCTCACACAGGTAAGGCATTCATGTTTTCTCTTTATTTTATTATGGCGAAATTGCCATATTTGGTCAAAATGGATGCTTTGTTGTAGACCGTTGTGTCAGGGGTAGCCTACCATCTGAACGTTAAGGGCTAAATTGCTGAACTCCATTACTCCAGTTCAAAAATGACTACATAAATAGACTGTCGTTGCTAGTGTACTTACAGCCTTACTACACAGGTACAACAACTTTATGTAAAGTGTTACCACACTTTCTCTGTCTCTTTTTTCCAGGTCTAAGGGGCCAAAATGCAGTACCTCTTTCATCTCCTTCTGTTGATGGAGATTTACTCCAAGTCTCACAGCACCCCGTGCGAGAAAGGCTGCGACTGTCGCGAGGAACTGAAACTCGCCACTTGCACTAACGCCCTCTTAACCCAACTGCCCAACCACATCCCTCCTTACACGGAACACCTGGACCTATCTATGAACCTCCTAACCTTTATTCCGGAGAGTTCCTTCCAAATGGAACGCAAACTGAGGGTTCTGCTCATAAACGACAACAACATCAGCGCTGTGGCTGATGGGGCCTTCACCCAGCTAGAGTTCCTTCAGAAGTTGGACCTGAGTTGGAACAGGTAGTGGAGAGTCTTTCCTGGCCACTGTGCTCTTGTTGCTGTTTTTCTCTTCGAGGTCTTGGCCGGGTTACTGTAAAGCACTTTGTGACAACTGTTCATGTCAAAAGGGCTTTATCAATTCAATTTGATGGATGGATGGAGAGATTCATTGATTGATTTATTGATTGATTAAACAGGATCTCGTCCCTGAGCGAGAGCTTCTCCCTGGGCCTGAATGCTCTGAGGGAGCTGCAGCTGAGCCACAACCACCTGCACACCCTGGACAGCAGGAGCTTCATGCACTTGGATGGCCTACAGAGGCTCAACCTTACCGGCAACGCCATCCATAACATCCAGGTGAGGTTGTTTTTACTTTTATTGAACAACATCTAATAAGGTGATACATGACTTATACAATTCTATTATTTTCTATTGTGTTCTATTTTGTTTTATTCTGTTGTGTTTTATTTTATTATATTCTATTGTGTTCTATTCTATTCCGTCCAGGTGAGGTCCTTCGGCTCCATGTCCACCTTGCGGCAGCTCCACCTGGAGGCCAACCATCTCATCTCCCTAAACAACGGGATGTTCTCCATGCTGAAGTCCCTGGAGGTCCTCAACCTGCAGGGGAACCAGATCAACAAGACCCAAGAGGGTGTCTTCACCCCCATGACCTCCCTGGCCCTGCTCAACCTGGCCCACAACCAGATGAGCACCATCTACTTCAAGACCTTCCTAAGCATCCACACCTATAGTACCCATATCCTGTTGGAAGGAAACCCCTGGAGCTGCAATTGTGACCTACAGAGAGTGTTCCATAAACTTAGAAGTGTTCAAAGACTGTTCTTGGATGATTACTATAATCTTAGCTGTAATGCTCCGACAGAACTAGCGAACTACAGGTTGATGGATGTGGATACGGAGCTGTGTATCGCCGAGATGGTTATTGTGCTGATTATCACGATCACTGTGGTGATAACAGTGTTGGTGGCCATCGTCATGGCGGAGAGGAAGAGAAAGAAGAAGAAGAAGAGGGGAAAACATTGGACGGAGCAGGGCAACTTGTCTGACTCAGATCACTAGGGATTGACTTCTTCTCGGCAACACAATCCTTTGATACACTTGTACAGTAACATTAAGAAAATATCTCTCAGAGACAGTTATTGCCATATTTTAAAGGACATTTAGTAGGCTATTGTACAATTTCACCATGTATTTATTGTACACAAATGTATTTATCAATTACTCAATATGCACACTTTTTGCATTTGTAATAATACCAGAGTTTGTAGTGTTCTATTAGATACTTTGACATACAATATGAACAATACTACAGGTGTGAAACATGTTCAATTAAACGAATTTGAAAGGTGCACTAGCTGCATTGTATTCTATCTATTTCCTTTACGATGTAGGAAATATAAATGTTATAGATTTTATAGATTTTTAGAAACAATAACAATTGCACATCTTGCCTTTACACTTTGTTATAAACATGCTCTTATGCATTTACGGTAGTTGGTGTATGTTGAAGGGCAGCGGGACACTATTTGGGAGGTTGGGTTCACTTTAACAGATAGCAGAGACGTCACACGAAGCCCATCCTCTCGGCGTACGGAGTTCGGAGTTACCTTCTAGGCGAAATGGCCTGAACTAGGGTGTGGTTGTGGATCGGAATATTTGCACGAGTCTTTAAGGATATTACTTATGGTATATCATCTGTATCATGCATGCATAGGATAACAACGGAATAAGCTGTATTGTAAGCTATGCAGAAAGCGTTCAATTTCAGACTGAGAGACACAACTGCCACCGCCGAACCTGCGTAGTCATAGTTGAAAGAATAGGAACACTGACCGGTGACTTTTGCAGGTAAGATTGATGAGAAGAACATGGGCGTCCAAGCTCATATTTCCAAGTTAAAGAGAAACTGCGCTAATTCACATTTTTGACGATTTTTGAAATGTTATCTAAAAATCTAAAAATCTACAATCTAGATTTTTATGATCTACAATATTATGATTTAAGTGCGCTGTTTACCACTGCGTAAAGTAAACGTTGTACTTTTATGTCTTCAATTTGATGTGAACTGTTCAATATTTGTCAGTGAAACATACGTTTCGTTCATACTTCCGCATTGGACGGTGAAATGTATTTTTGTACGGGTTTCACCGGTTCTTCTGATCTTGACACACCCCACTCACGAGCAACATGAGTTCTTAGGTTGTAACAATGTTACTATATTTGTTACACACCGTGTGCAACTTGTTGATAGCCTAATCTTTATTGTAGCCAATTCTAGCCATGCTAAACATATTTACTGTATAGCATAGTGTTTCAATATGCTTTGTGTTGTAGGCACGTCAGACAAAGATATATAGTTAAGCAAACTTTACTATGCATATTGTTAACCAGCACATCAAATACATGAAGTCAGTAAGTAACAAGTGGTTTCTGTTTCCTGTGTAACATCAATATGAGTAACATCAATATTGCTACACATAGACTGTATGTTTTCGATAATCAATGAAGCCTACTGTTAAGGTTACAGGAAACATGAATCTAACTTCCTGTCTTCCAGAGATGGCCGCAGACGACAAAGTGTTCATCCTGTCGGATGATGAAGAAGATCAGAAGAGGAAGTACGTCCAGGACGAACCCTTCAACACTCTTTCCCTGGAGCTTCAGAACGACCGAGAGCCAGGCTCCACTTCAGTGTCTGCTGCAGCATCAGCCACCCAGTCTGCTCCAGAGACACCCATGGCCTCACCACTGAAAGACCTAGGCTGCTGTGAGAGGATGTGCCTTAGAGTCAACTCCCAGCTCCTCACCTCCAAGATCTTCTACTTCTTCTTCTATGCAGCCTACGGTTCCCTGCACCCACTCCTAGCCGTCTACTACAAGCAGCTAGGGATGTCGCCAAGCCGTAGTGGACTGTTGGTTGGGATCCGGTACTTTATAGAGTTCTGCAGTGCGCCATTCTGGGGAGTGGTGGCCGATCGTTTTAAGAAAGGGAAGCCATTGTTGCTTTTCTCTGTGCTGTGTTGGTTGGTGTTCAACTGTGGCATCGGCTTTGTCAAACCAGCTGCCATGATCTGTAAGGAGAAGGTGGGCGTCACCACTGTGGCCCCACCAATACTGCCCTTGACGACTATGACACCAATTAACGGCTCGCTACCGGACGTTTCCACCAATCTCACGAGGAGAAGTCGTCGGGATTTATTTCGAGGTTACTTTCCTAGCTTCCCTTTTGTTTTGAATGGCCTTGATTCTGGCTATAGCGTACGCCGCAGGTATAGGAGAGGTGCTGATGGCAATAGCACCCAATCCACAGTGGTGCCTTACAAGCAGAATAAAACAACAACCACTCGCACCCCCACCCGTGCCCAACCCAGTGTGGTGCCTAATGAGCAAGCCAATACCACTCAGCTTTTACCGAATACCACAACTATGCCACTGACCACTAAAAACCCCACCCATGTCCCTACCCATACCCCCACGACCAATTCCACATTGGTGCCTCACGAGCAGGGCAATACCACTCAAGCTACACCAAATACTACAACAACAACTATGGCAACCACTACCACCACCCCTGCCCCCACCCAACCCAAAGAGTACATCATTGAGTACAACGAGGATCAGGTCGAGAGCATCTTTCTCCTGATCCTCTTGGTCATCATCGTGGGGGAGTTCTTCAGCGCGCCGGCGGTCACCATTGTGGACACGGTGACGTTACAGTACCTGGGGAAGCACCGGGACCGCTATGGCCTGCAGAGAATGTGGGGGTCCCTTGGCTGGGGCGTGACCATGCTGCTAGTGGGTATCTGGATAGACCACACCCACCTGACGCTGCTCATCGATGGCGTAGTCGGCTGCATCCTGCCCGAGTATAAGAACTATCAGGTAATGTATGACATTGAAAATGTGACAAATAATAAGCAATGGCTCGCTAAGGGCGACATAGTTGATACGTAAATAGAAATATAGTTCATTAATTTGTTCATTTATTCACTCACTCATTCATACATTCACTCATTCTCTCTTTCATTCATTCCTTCCCCAGGTGGCCTTCATAGTGTTTGGAGTGATGATGGGTCTGGCTCTGGTGGTAGCAACACAATTCTACTTTGACCGGTAATAGGGGCAGAAACAATTTAAATTATGTTTGAAACCCCACCTTTTTAGCTTTATCTTAAATCAATGATTTTGTTATTTTACACTTCCTTTTTGTTTTGTTCTTTTATTCATCTATTTTATAGAATTCCTGTTTGTTTTTATTATCTTTCATTTAATTATTTTAATGTAAAGTGTGTGGTGATTTTAAATGATCTTTAAATGAAGTTGGATTTGATTTGACAGTGGGGACTACAGACAGGATGTGCCTCAGAGGCCCCAAGAGGTAGAGATACCGCAGGTAAATCAACTGGAAAATTAAAACTCATACTAACTGGAAATAGTATTTCTAATTTCTTTAGTAAATACTGCTTTAAATTTTTAAAAACTGATCATTCTTTATTTGTTTTACACCTTTTTCACACAGGTAGACGGGAACGTGGCATCTCCAGAGGGGAGCGAGAGCTCCACCTCAGACCAGACCCCCATCACCCCAGAGTCCACCACCACCGAACAGCCTTTCTACTACAGTGACCTCCTCAGGCTGCTGTGTAGTGTCCAGTACAGCACGGTGCTGTTCGTGGCCTGGTTCATGGGCTTCGGTTACGGCTTTGTGTTCACCTTCCTGTATTGGCATCTAGAGGACCTGAAGGGGACCACCACGCTGTTTGGTGTGTGTTCGGTTCTGAGTCATGTGTCGGAGCTGGCTGCTTACTTCACCAGTCATAAGTTTATCGAACTGGTGGGACACATCAGGTAAGGATGGGGTTCTTGGTGGTGTTCTTGTTTTTGGGAGGGTGGTGGTGGAAGGGATATTGCATTATCCATCAATCTTCTAAAAAAATATTTTACCAAAAACAGCAGCTACAACAACAACCGAAGCACACAGTATTTTCTGAAACTGAGGATGTCCACATTTGCTATCCCGTTTCACCACAACTAGACCTGCCGCATGTAAACAATCGTGTTCATTTAGAGTGCCTCTTGAACGTCACACAGACCTTGAGCGTATACTATAGTCAGACAAACAGACAGACCTAGCACAGAGCAGGGACATTTGAGAGTGTGGTGTTATGTTTAAGGAGAGAGGCCCATCCCTCTGGCAGCTCTGTGTGACCTATGTCATTTTGACGCACAATTTTCAAACATTCTTCTCTAACATCTTGGGTGGTTATAACCCCGCAAGTAATACATTTACCTATTAGTGCAAAGGTCTCAGGAAGAATTTCTGCCAGTGCTTTTTGCCTCACCAGTTCAATGGGCACTGTACGCAAAGAGTCATACTAACTATGCCTAGTAGGGCATCTCTTTAGACCTTGGATGAGTGTTCTGCGATGGAATCCTAATTAACGCAACAAAAGACGCTCTAAGCCTGAAAAGCCTATACATTCTATACATCACCCTATTTTATCTGTTTGCCTCTTCTTAATAACCTTTGCTCAGAGTACCTAACCTCTGAAAATCTCATCACTAATTTATTTCTTTCCTCCCTGTTTTCCTAACTTAGGGTCTTGTACATTGGCTTGGCATGTAACACAGCACGCTACCTGTACATTTCTTACTTGGAGAATGCATGGATAGTTCTGCCTATGGAGGTCTTACAAGGTAAGAAAGAGCAGGTCAGACAGTGACATTACTTCCTGTTGACATCTGACTGAGGAAAGGTTCAAGTTTGAGTCTGTAGTTAAGGGTTGTGATATTGAGCCTCAGTAAAGTACATCTTAGGACAGGAATATCTGTTATTTCAAGCAATCGCTACCTTATAAAACACCTTTTCCCATGCCAACTAAACAAGAATGGGATAAGATATCATTTTATAGGAATGTTAATATTGATTTAAAGTGAAAAGGCCATTAAAGTATCACATCAAAAACAATCATATTAAAAGACAGTATCACCAAAAGGAAATTGAATAAGGATATCCTGGTAATGTCATATGACTTGTTATCCCTGTTTGTCTTTCTGTGGTTACAGATGAGATATTATTTAAGAGCAGGTTGGATGGGTCTTGTCAAACACTGATTACATTGAGACACGATCACATGTATTTTTTTCTTTTTTTGTGGGAACACTTGGGAACAGACTTCCTAAATTAAACACATTTTTATTAAACACATTTTTAGTTGAATTCCTGGTGATTTTACAGTCTTTTTTTAAAACCAAAAACAATGCATAGTGCCAACTGTAGAGTTTGGTGGAGGAGGAATAATGGTCTTGGGCTGTTTTTCATGGTTCGGGCTAGGCCCCTTAGTTCCAGTGAAGGGAAATCTTAACGCTACAACATACAATGACATTCTAGACGATTCTGTGCTTCCAACTTTGTGGCAACAGTTTGGGTAAGGCCCTTTCCTGTTTCAGCATGACGATGCCGCCGTGCACAAAGCGAGGTCCATACAGAAATGGTTTGTCAAGATCGGTGTGGAAGAATTAGACTGGCCTGCACAGAGCCCTGACCTCAACCCCATCGAACACCTTTGGTATGAATTGGAACGCCGACTGCGAGCCAGGTCTACTCGTCCAACATCAGTGCCCGACCTCAGTAATGCTCTTGTGGCTGAATGGAAGCAAGTCCCCACAGTAATGTTCCAACATCTATTGGAAAGCCATTACAGAAGAGTGGAGGCTGTTATGGCAGCAAAGGGGGGACCAACTCCATATTAATGCCCATGATTTTGGAATGAGATGTTCGACAAGCAGGTGTCCACATACTTTTGGACATGTAGTGTATATAATGATTATCTTTATTTTGTTTACTAAAAACGCTTCATGACAATTTTTCTAGTAATAACTGATAATACGCTCAATAAATAAGTAAGAATAAGCTTGTTATTACTGGTCATAAGTGATAAGCACTGTTTGCTTTGGTGCTATAGATTCTTGCTGAGCTCTGTGTCTTAGGAGGGTTTTGCAGCCCACAAAGCAGAGTAAGATGACCATCACATGACTTCAGCATAAGGATTTGTATATCTATCTGACGTTTGAGTCTGTGGTCACGGAATGAGAAGTCTGACTGCCTGAATGATGATGAATGGAAGTCTAAGTGTCAACACCTCCTTATCCATAGGACTCAAATAAAAGAGGCGAGGTTTCCTGTTAGATTGTTTTTCAAATTTGTGCTAATATTACAAGACAGATTGCTTTTTCTTCTGTATGACATTAGTATCGAAAATAATGTATAACATTTTTAAAAATTTGTCATTTTGCAGACACTCCAGAGACATTATCCAGAGCAACTTACAGGATCAATTAGGGTTGAGTGCCTTGCTCAAGGGCACAGATCTTTCACCTAGTCGACTCTGGGCTACAAACCAGCAACCTTTCGGTTACTGGCCCAATGCCCTTAACTGCTAGAAGCTACACCACAATGCCCTACTTTGAAGAATAGTATTTATCCTTATAAGCTGTGTAATGTTTAACACCTCCATCAATGTTTGTCCTCTGGCATCATTTACATTTTAGTCATTTAGCAGACACTCTTATCCAGAGTGACTTAGTCGTGAGTGCATACATTTTTGGACTTTTTTGTACTGGTCCCCCGTGGAAATCGAATCTACAACCCTGGCTTTGCAAGCGCCATGCTCTACCAACTGAGCAGCACACAGTATTTAAATGTTCTAACATTTGTTTTGTCTGTCTGTCTCTTTGTAATGTAGGTGTGACCCATGCGTCGGTTTGGGCTGCCTGTATCTCCTACCTGAGTGCCGCGGTGCCCCCAGCTCTGAGGACCTCTGCCCAGGGTATCCTCCAGGGTCTACACTTGGGACTGGGACGGGGCTGTGGGGCCATGGTGGGGGGCGTCTTCGTCAACTACTTTGGTACGGATGCAACAACAACAGCCCCTTTTGACAGTCCCATTTGAGTAGTGAAATTTAGCAACTCCTGCCATATAGCCATGTTTTTATATGTTAACATGATTTTGAGAACCAATGAGTTATACTGTTTATTACATATTTATAAACTACATACTGTATCCACTAATAATGAACTGTTTAAAAATTATGTATAAACCATTCATAACCCCATTAAATGACACCTTAATATAAAGTGCTACTATTTGGTTTGTTCTGTATCTGTAACGTGCATCTTTCTTTTTCCAGGAGCTGCAGAGACCTTCAGAGGGATTGGAATGGCTTCCCTGGTTATACTCCTCATCTTCTCCTTCATTCAATGTCTGACCGGACAGAATGAGGAAAAGGGTGAGGGAGGGGAGAGCACCTCAATCCATATTTATTTAATAAACCCTGCATCAGTGCACTGTTTTAGGAATTTGTTCTGTATAGAACCAAAAAGGGTTTAATGGATTGCTCCATATGATGCACAAAAAATTGTCTTTATAGAGCTGCAAAGCACCCTTATACTTAGCAGTGTACCATACAATAATAACCTAAATTGTATTCCCCTCACTAGAGGACAGGATGCTAGCAGAGAACATTCCGGTTCCTTCCAGTCCGGTTCCCATCGCTACCATAGACTTGATGCAGAACCAGAGCCAGGTCAGAACTCTCTGAATTGTTGTGCTCATATGCTGCTTCTTTCAGCAAACCAGTTTCCCATTGTGGGACAATGAAGTGTACTATTAATACTACTACTACCAGGTGGGTGTGACGGTGCCCCGCCCGGACCCTAGACCCCCGGCTAAGAAGACCAAGCACCAGGAGGAGCAGGAGGATGTTAACAGACCGGCCTGGGTGCTGAGTGGATCCCCCTGGGTCACCATAGCCTTCGCTGTCTGCCAGATCAGAGAGATGTACTGCATGACCAAGAATAGTCTACCCTCTGAGACACAGCCACTGCAGGTAGGATGATGAATGATAGTCCTCTTATAAAGATGTGTAAAATCTCAATGAGAACTCTTGTCCTCAGATGTGCGAATCGAAAGTTTATGAATTTCAAGCCAATTCATGTTTAAAAAATGTATAACCTTTAAAATATTTTATTTCAATGGGATTTATGTTTATGTCATATGATTAACAGTGACAATATGTGAACGATTTTTCCCACGCCTTCCTGTGAACTAAAGAAAGGTGAGGCCGTGTTTGTTCTTTGTGTGCACTGTAGAGGTGAATTCGACAGTGGTGAATGTGGTCAAATGTCCTATGTGCCTGTGTTTGGTCTCCTAGTTTAGTGCATGGTTTGGTTATATCTTTAGTGTATCCAAAACATTTTGTCATGATGGATTAGCCAATTATGTTATATTATCTTGTCTGTTGCCAGGAGCAAAATGATCAGAACTCTTCTGAATACCAGGCAGTGGAGACTGAACACAGCACAGAGCAACAGGAGTTCCCACACCACCATAACGGTTCCCCCAGCAGCGTACCTAGCAAGGCCCACCCCGCAGAGCACCCAGAATCCCAGCCCTCTTCCCTACCAGACCAGGGGAACTCTGTGGAGCACCCTGCCTTTTTACCTGTTAACTTTGAGGCTTCACATCAACTGTCTAGTACAAACCCTTTCCGGCAGTAGATTAAAGGCTTGAGTTGTTGAGTTTAGAAACGGAGCAGGTACTTAGTAGCGAAAGGGTAAGGGGCAGTGAGTACTACTCAACATCGATGACTGTGCTGTAAAAAGTACCAAATGATAAGCTTTCTGTGTGTGTGTCATCTGACATTGTGTAAATAGAATTTGATCTAGAAAGGGTCAAAAGGGATTGTTGCCTTCTAGAATGTAATGTATTTATTTCATCTGTCTTCCTGCACGAGCTTCTGACAATCATGTTATTATTTTGACTCTTGGGATGAAATGATATGTATATACAATAAAAATTTATTTGTAGAGAAATCATTAACTTTCACTGCTTTTCTGGTGTTTCAATTATATTATAGCTGTCTATTCTTGCATGTTTTTAAAATTCCAAGAGTAGACACTTGGTGGCAGTAGTGTACCCTATTCAAGGACTAACCCTAAGCGTGTGTGTTGTGTGGAGGTTGAGGTCAGGGTGTGTTTGCTTTTGCTGCTGATGGGAGTGTATGGGAGGACAGTAATAGTGTTTTCCTCAGAAACTACACCATAATGCCATCTGCAACTTACTTTGTCTCGGCAGAGAATAAGCTAATATCGGTGTTGATGGAAAAAGATGAACGAAATTAATTAATTGGACTGTTTCCCCCGAATCGTCTTTGTTTTGAACACAGCAAATAATGTCCTTCATTATTAGTGTAGGCCTACTCTAAATAAAGGGATTATACTACAAGACTGACCGTGGCAGCTGTCTTATCCAATATTGTTAAGCCTGTTGTCTACATCTAAGGAATTAATCATTTGTACATTTTACCTTAAGGTTTTTCCATCAGCTGCACTCTATGAATCAGTTCATTTGAAAGTACTCTATGAATCAGTTCATTTCAAAGTACTCTATAAATCAGTTCATTTGAAAGTCTAATAAAAAATGATGACATTCCCCTGTTCCTCAACGATCTTATTGAGGCATCACAAGTATAATACTTGTTTACTCTTGACCACACAGACTTGCACATACATTAGTCCGCTGCAATGCCTTATGGGTATGTAAGGCTTTGCTGAAAGTGTTGAGTCATGGACTGTGGTGTGGACACTCCAACATGCTCGGACATGACAGGACCAGACAGCTGCCATGTTCAGTAGGGCATCATGGGATTGTTGTAGTACTGTAGCAGCATCCTTTTATTTATTTGCACAGTACACTGATAATGCTGCACTGATGAAATAGCTACACGTGGTAATAATCATGCTGATCATTGGAATGATAGGTGTGATATTGTGTAGGCCTATGTGATATTTTAAAACACTCCAGGATAGTACAACATGTGCTACATGCTATGGTGGAGAGGCAGTTAATTGATTATTGGAATATTCAGACTGTGTTGGTTTCTCTCTGGCTGTACCATTGATGCCCCCTCCCGCCGCTGAAGCTACACTGCCTCAACTCCTAGCCTTTCATCCGAAGCCAAATAGAGCGATTCAACATCCATCTCTACCATCAATTTAAATGTGTTGTTTGTTTTTGAGATTATTTTATTTAATGAAAAGCGCTATACAAGTTAAATAAATTATTATTTTTATTATTATTGTTATGTGTTTTGTGTATATTGTAGGCCTAGGACCTTTTGACAACATCTAGTAAATTAATATGCCTGATGTCCAATGCATCTATACATAAGAGCACATACAGTCACCAGGGTCATATTGTTAAGTTGATGGAAAACATTGTTTAAACGCAGTGAAAGAGATAGCCTAGGCCTACTAACTGAATGTGTCAAATTAGAGCACAGATTGTTGTTTCCCATTGCAAACAGTTTTGCTACAGTGTCTGTGTGCCCTACTGAGCACAACCCAGGATGTCCTGCAGAGTGAGAAAAAGTGCCTTGTATGACACAGTGAGAGGCTTTGTCTCTACCGTCATCAATACAACCATACATGACGCCTACAGGGCCAGCCTCTCCGTGGGCTGATCAGTACGGCCCACAGCCCACACCAGCCCCAGCCTTAGCCTGCAGGAGGCACAGCAGGGGAGCTCAGAGCCATGCTTACTCCCACCAATACCTTGTTGGGCTGCAAAGCCATAGGATCCAAGGAGCAAGGACAGTGTGGAAGAGTAGAATGACTCCCCAACCCACAGCCATTTAGGCCTAAGTAGTGGTTCATTGAGGTCTAAGCAGTTGATCTTTGACATAACATTTCAGCACTTAAATAATTAGTATGTCAGTTTCTTGTCAAGTGCAGAGAGAGAGAAACGGACCCATCCCTTTGGATAAGTACTGTAAAGTACATATAAGGCAAACTAAGTTGCTGAGGTTTTGTGATTGAGTCAGGGACTTGTTTTGCGGGTGGGCGTGTGAGTGGGGGGATCCTAATCCCTAGCGTCTGCAGTTGTTTTTCATGCCTGTTGGGTTGAGATCAAAAACTTAACGGCAATAATCATGCAAAATTGTCTGGCTTTCGCTTCAAAGAGAATATCAACATTAGTTTTACTCATTTTCTTGTTTGTATAGTTTGTTTCATCAGTTCTACTAGTTTTTATAAAGGGAACTGGGTTATATTTGATAGACTGAGGATACAATACAATGTCTCTGAAATAAATGATCATATTAAACTGTCATTTAAGAGCACAAGTCTAGATTTGGCATCTACGTGAGGTGATAGTTAGAAATGTCCCCCTGCGTTAGCAGATTGAGCTCCAACACCATCAGAGCTGGTGCACAGAAGGGGAAGATGGCGGAAGACCGCCAGAAGTGGAGAGCCTTTGTTGCTGCCCTATGAGCCAGCCCAGTCGTGATGGGGATAAGTGAGTGAGTGAGTACATTGGAGGATCATTTGACACACATTAGCATGGCTAGGGGTGGGTGGTGAGGGGGTCTCTGGAATCTGAGTGATCGTAGGCCCACCCACATGGGTAAAAACCCCTGGGTTTAGAAATGTAATCTCCTTTCATTATGACTCTGAGAAGCCCACAACGGACCCTGAGTGTGGGCCGATCAATCCTAGCCTGCCTTTGTGTTCGTCATTAGGTACTAGTTTGGCGCATCTGTGTTGTATCGACAGACCACTATTTACTGGGAAAACTCACTGTGAATTTTCAGCTGCTGCATTTATGAACATATAGCTGCACAAACAACATAGTGACATTGATTAAAAAATGTCCTGAAGATTATTGTACTAATACTACCACATCATTTCTAAGATTGCAGTACTTATCTAATTTATTTCGGACAACCCCCACCCACACAAAAACACCCACACACATACTTCCGCCCACACACACAGCACACTCTGCCGCCCACACACACACTTCCGCCCACACTTAGCTCGCACACACATGTTCACTCAGACATAAGATGCTCATGGAGTCGAACACAAAAACACACACAAAGTAATGGGCTATACATTACATACTGCTTAGGGTTCACCTACAAATGTTATTTTTCACTCACTCACTAACACAAGTATGAAAGTAAACTATTCATTTTTATAGTGTAATAGTGTGAAATGCATAATGTGTTATAACGCCTGCATAATTGTTCATGTCTGTCAATATTGAATGTATCATATTCTAATTTATGCATAACAATTTCTGTGTTATTCATGTCCTTCATCTTAACCATTTTGAGACCAGGAAGCTTCCTTTGGTGTGTGGGGGGGTGTTATTACAGGGTAGGGTGAGGGGCTGACAAGCTCACACGTGCATGGGTGTCGGTGAAACGTGTTTGTAATTGGTACAACAGTGAAAATGTACAGAACACTTTTAAAAAGAACACTTATAGAAATCTGAAATACAGTACCGATAAAACTATTAGAGGCAAATGGAAAATATATATGTTATCTCATCTCTGAATGTGGACATATTCAATGGAAAATATATATGTTATCTCATCTCTAAAAGTGGACATATTCAATGGAAAATATATATGTTATCTCATCTTTAAAGTGGACATATTTCATGGAAAATGTAGCCCTGTAACAGGATGCATGGCAGCAATGCCGGGTGTATTCAGAGAGAGAGAGAGTGTGTGTGTGTGTGTGTGTGTGTGTGTGTATGTGTGTGTGTATGTGTGTGCATGCTGCGTGGGCTGTGGCAGGTCAGAGCCGTCCACAGACAGGATTAAAGGAGTGGGTGTGCTGCTGGAAACTATCTGTTCTGAATTTACCTGTTCCCTGTTACCCTGGCCCTGCCTGGCTGTGTGGAAAACACATCATTAAAACCACACAACAGCTGCTCCTCTACTCTATCTGTGTCCCAAATGGCAACCTATTCCATATTCCCCATAGGGCTCTGGTCAAACGTAGTGCACTATATGGGGAATAGGGTGCCATTTGGGACGTATAATCTGACTCAATTACCTATCCTCATCATTAATCTTCTTCATAAAAGATAATGTAGTAAAGTACTGTAAATAGTATCTAGTCACCTATTTTCTCTGTTCTCTGGTCTCATAGCTTCACAAGGATGGGAAATACAGTGTATGCTCCTCTACTCAATTATCCTGATAATTCATATTCTTGGTTTAAAAAATGTAGCAGCTAAAGTAGTAGCCTAGCTCTGTAAATAGATACTCGTAATTATATTTTTTTGCAGCTGAAAAAAGTAGCTCTGCAAATATAGATAGTAGTTAGTTAGTGTACCATGCTTCTGAGTCTCTTTTCTCATGAGTACAAGAAATGTGCGCTGAGAGTTTGTTCAGGAGCAGTGTGTGTAGATTCTAGATATTCTAGATCTATTTTCCAGGATAAAAACAAAGGCTCATCATCTCCCTAAGGCTGTACTGTGTGCTGTGGCTGCATGGCCTACTTGCCAGAAATAGCTAATTGATACAGAAGCAGATTGAGTTATTTTAACAGTAAGCAGGAAGCTTTCTGTTGTGTCTCTAGAGAGAATAAGCCTTCCTCCTTTCTATAATTTTTGATAATAATGTAAAAATAAGAGTTCATATTCGCATGACAGTGAAGGACACAGAATGAACATCTTATTATGTGAGTTGATTATGTGTATTGTAGACAGTCCACGCCCAATGTGAAATGGGCAATGCACACGTCTGAGAGTATATTTGGAAAGGGAGGAAAAAGGGCTGGTGCCAGCCGAAGATTTGTGTGGGTGTGTGTAAGTCCTTAGAGAAGGGTTTGTGGTTCCCATGCACACATAGGACAAAGTCCCCCTTCTCTCTCTGCCTATATTCCCCCTCACTGCCTCAATTCGGAGAGTAATCTGCTGGGTAAGACACAAGGAGACACTTAAGTGTCATGGCAAGAGACTGAAAATAAATGTTTGCATAGAAACACTAATTTGCATATACTAAAGTGTTTTATCCAAAGAGTGAAGAAATTAAAAGATCAAAGAACATAATTACATCATAGATGATTTGAGCCAATCCTTATTAGTCTATCTGAATGTCAATAGTTTCACTTCTGTACAGGCATATAGCCTATAGGACGTTTTAGGGTCTACTCTACTCGACTCACACAGTCCCAGTTGACCGACGCTGCCTGCCTCTGCCGCTGCTGAGATATGGTGCTTGGTATTCCATGCAGAAGCCTCCCACGCCCCTGTCCGCCCACGCCAGGATTTGCGTCACGCAGGCGCGTGGGAGTGAGCACTGTAGCAACCGCGGAATATCCCAATTGCAATAGCCGGGGAGGAGGGGGTAGGGTAGCAAGCAGGCAGCTCACACTCATCTAGTCTAGAGACGTTCAACACAATCGTATTTCTATTCAAGGAGGCGAAGAAGGGAAGGTAAACGTTGTCGAAGAACGCGAGGACTTTTTAGGCCAGAGAGCGCGTTTATTAGGAAATTAGAGCGCGTCTTTGGGATCTACGGATTTTTGTAAACAGTTTCTTCAGTTACAGTTTATGGCAGTTCAGGCTTAACTGTAGCTGATACATTGTAACAACTAGAAAAAGGAAACGAAAGGGGACCAACGTTCACCAGGTATGTAACAATTAAAATACATCGTTGGAAGAAGTTATTGGGCTATGACAATAATGTAACAAGTTGTAGCCTTGATACAATGTTGCAGCACTGTTCTATTATTGCCGACAATTGGTATGTTTACTCATCTTCCTGATGTGGATTTACTTGCAAGACCGGTTTTGAGTTACATTGAATCTGGTGCTGTTTTACTGCATTTTGCATTTACCTTTTTACTTTTTGTGTGTTTTAAAACGAATGTATTTTATTTTCTATTTAGCTTGGTTGATTTGTGCAAATATTCCATGATCATATTGACTTGATTTGCCTATGTGATTGTGATGTCTTGAGTGCCTCTTGATTTGCACTGTTCTGTGGAAGGTTGAGTTTAATCAAGTTGCTTTGCATTTTGCCCTGAGGTTTTGACAGCAGTGGTTATAAAGTAGTTGTAGGACTGCAAGTGCAGACCTATCATGAACTGAGGAATAGTGGATTAGCAGGTGGTGTTTGTGCAGTTGTTTGCAAACACTCTCTGAATGCACATTGATGATAAACAATCAAATTATATTATTCACATAACTAAAGGTCGTTCAGCAATATTGAATTATTTGTGACATAGTCCTCTAACTTGCAAGAAATGGGTAGTTAACAATCCCATGGCTAAAGCAAGTGGAGCCTGTGTGTGTGAGAGAGAGAGGCCAGCTACACATGCTGCAAAGGAGGAGTGTGCCATGTGGTCCCATCAGCAACTAACAGGGCTCTAACTGCTAACTGCCACTCTTCCTTCTGCAGCCCTAGTACTGCAGAACTTACAAAGGAAACTCAGACAGAGTGGAGGGAGTGCCTCTTCCTCTGTCAGTCAGTCAGCCAGTCAGTCAGTCACACACACAAACACACACACACACACACACACACATACACACACACAGACAGACACACACACACCCCCACACCCCAAAACACACGCATGCACACACACACACACCAACACTCTCTGGTCGGGCAGAACCTCTTGCCTAACCCGTCTTGTGTTCTCTCTCCCAGGCATGGCGGCGGCGTTGCCCAGAACTCTGGGGGAGCTGCAGCTCTACCGAATCCTCCAGAGGGCCAACCTGCTGTACTACTACGAGGCCTTCATCCAGCAGGGAGGAGACGACGTGCAGCAGCTCTGTGAGGCCGGGGAGGAGGAATTCCTAGAGATTATGGCTTTGGTGGGCATGGCCAGCAAGCCCCTGCACGTCCGGAGGCTCCAGAAATCCCTGCGAGACTGGGTCACCAATCCAACGTTGTTTAATCAGCCCCTGACATCTGTACCGGTGTGTAGTATACCAGTCTATAAGTTACCCGAGGGGTCACCCACACCAGTCAGCGCGGAGCGAGGGGGTAACAGCAGCGCCCGTGGCGAGACCCATGGCAAGGTACCCAAAATCATGGCTGCGACATGTCTGGAACCAGGAAAGCTGGAAGTGGCCAAGGACAGAGTGTCAGGGGGATCTCCGCTGCAGAGCGGCAGCGAGGGGCGCTTCTGGTCGGGTCACAGTAACGACAGCGAACAGAGCCTCTCTCCGTCCGACCGGGGGTCTCCGTCATCCCCCCGAGAGGGTCTGGAGGCACTTGACGCTGCAGCTTTGCAGTCTGTCCTGGAGTGTGTGGACCGGATGACCCCGGCCCTGCCAAAGAGCGACCCCGCGGAGGTCAAAGAGCAGCTGAAGACCAATAAGAAACTTGCCAAGATGATTAGCCACATCTTTGATATGAGTGATGATGATCCAAGGAGAGAGGAGGAGATCAGGAAGTATAGCGCCATCTACGGACGCTTCGACTCGAAGAGGAGGGACGGCAAACAACTGACGCTTCATGAGGTAGGGATAAGAGATGGGATCCTTTTGCAGTACTAGGCTAGTATGCTCAGTGGCAGTGCAATACTAGTAACAAACCTCAGTTCCACAAATAAGAGGCGAAAACTACAAAAGGTAAATCACCTGAAGAAAATGTGTGTGCTTGCTTCAGCTGTCTAAAAGTAGGTCGGTAGTGGTAGAAGTTACAACTGAAGAGTTCACTGACAGAATTGTGTATCTCCAGTTATAGTTGACAACATGACTTATTATCATCTGTGTTCTGTCTTTCAGCTGACAGTGAACGAAGCAGCAGCCCAGCTGTGTATGAGAGACATGGTACTACTGACCCGTAGAGACGAGCTGTTTGGTCTGGCCAGGCAGATCTCCAGAGAGGTGACCTACAAATACACCTACAGGACCAGCAAGTAAGAGCCACTGCACCTCACGCAACCTTGCTTGTTAGAGTTAGTAATGCTAAAGGAAGTTGGTAAGCATGGGTGACTTATTTACATGCTAAATACATTTTCTCCTCATGGTTATTACTATGTAACGAATGACTGTAATGTGTTCAATTTTACGGAGACATATTTTTAAGTTATGTAAATTATCGTATGGTATCATTAATGTAATGTTCAGACTATGCTTTCCATATCTTTCAATGTTTCTCTGCAAACAAACTGAAGATAATGTATTGTCTTCTCCACTCTAGGTCTCGCTGCGGAGACAGAGATGAGCCGTCTCCTAAAAGAATAAAGACAGAGGAGAACTTCTTTGACATCCAGGAGGCTCTGCAGGCCATCCACATGAGACAGGGCATACTGAGGGAACAGCTAGCCTGCGCCAAGTCCAAAGGAGAGGAGATAGTTGGGAGAAACCTTCAGGTAACATGCTTGAAAAGTGGATTATAATATGTGAACATTACAGGAGACACGTTTATTTGACACTGTCATTTTTGGAGGCAGGTTTTTGACACTACAACGTTACGTTACTGTAGCTAGCAGAAAAGAGTAGGAGCAGTTGCTAACGAACTGTAAATGTATTGTGTTTTAACAGGTGCAGTTGGACCGTCTGTTAGCCAGACAGATGGAGATCCTCCATGAGGCGGCGGTACAGGAGAGGTTACATGCTCTGGACTGGAGGATACCTGCAGGGGCTTTGAAGTACCTCAGTGAGCCTCCAGGCAGCAACGGCACGTCGGTAGACAAAAGCACAGAGCACCAAGGTGATGATACTGTCTGTCTTCTGCAACTCTCTTTGTAGTATGCTCCTACATGAGTGTTATACTCATGCTCCAAATTCACAGCTCTGGGAACCACCATTTCCAGCCTTCAAATCTTATCTTATAAGTCAGGGAATCAGTTGATATCTTTTTTTCACACTTCTCAAAGTGAGGAGGAATCATAACTGTATTAAGCCTTAGCCATCCCTCAGGGACTCATCCCATTTTCATCCTTTTCTCACTCATCCTTTTCTCTCTCTCACGGCCCATGCTCCTGACAGCTCATTATATTCATGTTACCCATAATTATCCTCTCTCTGCTCCTGTCATTAACTCTCCCACGCCTGTTTACCTCCTCCGCCATGTTGCTGCCCAGGGGCGTCCCTCTCTCTCTCACTCTCTCTCTCTCTCTCTCTCTCTCTCTCTCTCTCTCTCTCTCTCTCTCTCTCTCTCTCTCTCTCTCTCTCTCTCTCTCTCTCTCTCATCCTGTCTCCTTCATAAGCTATTAAAAGCACCTTATTCAAGTTGAATAAGAAGAAGAGTATAAAGGTTTTTTTGGCACCGAGTGGCGTATAAACTTGGGCCCACAGCAAAATGTGCATCAGATCTCTCAAGATTTTGAGAGGCAGAATGTTAATGTCGTTTTCTGTGTCATCTAAGCAGCTTCTTGAATGATACAGTAACAGCAGTGCCAATGGAATTTATCCTGTATTATGGCAGTGTGTATACCAATGGTTTATCCATGCCCTAATGTTTGTTTGTCTGTGTGTTTATGTGTGTTTTCAGACGAGCGACCAATGAACTTGCGGGTGGCCAGTAAGAGTGTGGCAGAGGGGGAGCTTCCCCTGGGGAAGCAGCTAGCCAATGAGCTCAAACGTTACCATAACAACCATAACACAGATGAGGCCAAAACACCAGCAACAGGTACAGCACCACTCATGCAAATGTATGTTCACTCTTGAGTCACATATGTGTAATCGTGTATTCATATACATACACACTACAAACAGCGAGTATTAGTAAGGGTCTGTTGCACGCACATACCTGCCTACATTCAAGCTACAGTATGAGTGTATATGATCAGAAAATACATGGTATGTTTTAATCTGATTATATTTTCTTTGTGTTGCATTTTACCTTAGAGAATGGATCCTCACATCAAGCGGCCAACCACACTGACAGGAAGACCATCAAATCAGAAACAGAGGATTCCACATAGTGCCTCCCATCCTTTGTCTGTTTTCCCATCCGGTTTTAGTCATCATTTACACTATTTACAGTAAGCATCTATCTCAGTCAAATCAATGGATACTAAAGCAAGCACAGCCACAGTAGAGCCTTAACAACCAACGTTGCCTCAAAAATAGCATTTATTTTCTTTAATTTTGTCTAAGGTTTTTGCCAAAGCGTCTAGACTAGAGCATAGATTCAGTCTTGGGGAAAACTGAACAGGACAGGGATGTCCTTTCACAGGATACCTTTCATGCTGTAAAGGTCTTTATGTATTTATTGATCGATTGTACATTATGTTATTTAAGAATGATGGGTACGAAAAGTAGTCTTGAATGACCATCCTGATCTCCTGAGCTTACATTCTGTTTCGCTACATGAATTTGAATGAAGTTAAGTGAAACGAGAGCGCAGCGGTCAGGATGGTGGATCAGGCTATACGAAAAAGAACAACGAATAACATTTGTTGTATTCTTTTTACCCCAAGCTATTTTTGGCTTGTTGTGTTCGATTGGTGGGCAACTGATGTACTATAAAGAATACAGTAGGATTCTGTTTTAATCAGAGGTGAAAAGAAAGAGCTATCTGTAGAGGAGAAATTATAGTTTCGCTTCCTGCTAATGTATGTACTGTATGTATTTATGAGTGGTACTGTAAATTAAACTGAGGCTGCAGAATGTTTTGTGTATAGAACTCCAGTTAGAGTTCAGATCAGTGTTATGGGATAGGTCGGCCCAGGGACGGACTGGGACCAGAAATCGGCCTTGGCATTTTCTTACTTTGAGGCCCCAACACCGGCCCATTTCTATCCTCAAGGTCCCCATACCGGCCCATTTTTTCCGTTGAGGCCCCCATTAATAGCCAGATCATGATAATTGTGCGACAAAAAAAAATGACCAGCCCTCCTGGCATTTGCCCAAATGCCAGATGGCCAGTCTGCCCCTGGGTTGGCCTAGACATGGGATGGGGCCTACAGTATGTCAATCAAATCGAGTTTCCTGGATGAGTCTGTCAAACACATGGTTGCTCGATCCTTTACTGTAAGAATGTACATTTGAACCTCAACACAACATTAATTGAGTTACTCATTTTATTGAGTAGGGCCCCTGGTCTGTTATTAGGGCTGGGAATTGCCAAGGACCTCAAGATACAATATTATCATGATACTTTGGTGCCGATACGATATGTATTGTGATTCGATACTGCAATTCTATTGCAATTCAATGTTCCAAACATATTGCTCACCATGTCTGCTGGAGAGGGTTAAGAGAGAGCCATGAAAAAAGGTGTTTTGATCAGTCATGTGAATAAAAGTGCTAAAAGCATGTTGGCTCACCATTTAAAAGGAAGATGGATAACAAGCTGTAGAAGGAATAATACTGGAGTTTTTGCACAGCTAACGAGCACAAAAATAATATTGCGATACAGCTAACGAGCACAAAAACAATATTGCGATATTGTGCAAGATAATGTTGCGATATATTGTCAAAAATAATATCCCGATATGTAACTGTATCGATTTTTACCCCTATCACTATCTGTTATATTGTTGCACTCCAGAAAGTTGTGTTTTAATACATTTCTCACTGTAGGATTGACAGGGCCAATTCGGCCTGTAGTATTACAATAATATTAGCCTAATCCCAAAAGCAGGGTTTTGTCGGTGTAGTGTTGGTGTCAATCTCAATACAGTGTTTATGTGTGTAGAGCAAAAACCGAATAACTGTTGTTAGAGAAAACAAGTGTCTGGTATCATAAGATGTTAATGTTACTTAGCCTAGTAGTCTTAGATCCTACCAGTGTTTCAACTGTGACCACCAATGTATAATTCAAGATGTTCGTATGTTAGAGTTAGCTCTCAGATGGTTGTTTAATGTTGTGTTTCCAATGTGTAAATCTGTCTTGCTCTAGAGTCTGTTGGTATTTTTTGGGGTCCCCGCAGTCACAACAGTTTTGTAATTATAGTCTCTCTAGCTTATTAAGACTGCAACAAATGCAATACTTTTGTAAGTACTGTTTAAGTACTAAGTACATACTTTCTGGGCCCACTGTCTGTTCTATTCTGTGCTAGGTTACTTCTCCTGTCCTCTGTACTGGTTTAGTTTAATCAGTGTCATATAATGTTCACAGACCAATGCATGTCCAGCAGTGTGATAGATAGTCAAGATGTTAATAGTACATTGATTCATGTTCTTATCACTGTTATCGTAAGTGATCGAGTTAGTCTAGGCTTGCCTACACAGTAGATATGCACCTGTTTTTTAAACACTAATATATTTTATTTGTTATACAGCACATAAACATAATTAAACTTTATTTTTTATGGTGGTTGTTTTTCTCATTCATGGTATTATATATATACGCCCCGTGTAGCTCAGTTGGTAGAGCATGGCGCTTGCAACGCCAGGGTTGTGGGTTCGATACCCATGGGGGGCCAGTATGAAAAATGTATGCACTCACTTAACTGTAAGTCGCTCTGGATAAGAGCGTCTGCTAAATGACTAAAATGTCAATGTAATGTCTGATCCAGAAAGAAGGAAAGTTATATTTTCTATGTTATCAGATTTAAAAAATATATTTTATATTCATCCATTATTATTATTATTATGTCCTGCGATAAAATAACAACATTTAGAAGAAAAAACGTTATTTTTTATTTTTTTTACAGTTAAAATGTTGTATGGCAGAGAACCTACGCTGGTATTTATAAGGTATAATGAGCGCAGACAGACAGACTGAATGTGGTCCAGTCAACACTTTCTCTTCTTAAAAAAGAAAGGGATGATGAACCGCTGTCTGGGGTAATGCATTTGCATCAGCGTCATATTAAAACATTCGGAAACTGCCCGATGACTCTCTCTGCTCACTCTGACGCAGGTCCTTTTCATACTTCACATCTCTCTCTTTCGCTCTCTCTCCTCCCTCTCCGCCTCTCTCATCTCGCTCTCTTTCTCACACACACACGCACAGATTTTCTCCTGAGATCAGGTCAACTCATCACTGAACACCCACACGTGTAGATCCCTCCCTCCCATCCTCCCAGTCTCAGCCCTGTGTGATGGCCTCCCTGCCAATGCAAGTCACTGATGTGTTGCCATGGCAATAGTGATTGTAGGCGGCGGCACCACAGGCAGTGGGAGGGAGCTCAGCCCTGCTGCTAAACTGCGTGGGTGTGATCTGGTGAACGCGACATCACCCCCGTTTAACAAAGCATGAAACTAACAGTGTTTGAACAGAGGTGGGTATCAAGTGAATTATCCCCTCATCTTCTCCAATAGTGCAACTAATAAAGGATTAGTTAGTTATTTGTTTGTTTTTATTTTAACCGTTTTTATCAGATTGTAAAGTCCAGGAGGTTGCTTTGTTTAAAGGGATAGTTCAACCAAATTACATAATGACAAATGTCCTTGCCCTGTAATCAGTCTACTGACAAGGTATGACAGCAAGCCATGCTTTGGTTTTATTCCAGCAGTGTTTCCCAAACTAGGGGTTGTGGCCCCATGTGGGGTCACCTAATTTGAAAATTAGGGTAGCGGGAGAAACTCTGAAATAAAATAAATTGGGCTTGGTTCATAGAACCGGGGTTACGCTAGATGCGTTGTAATAAACAGAGTGGTTTCTGTTTTCTTCCTACAAATGTGTTTCTATCTTTTGAACCGTTCACGCTACAAAATACTATTATCTTTCCCTCTACAATGCCCACAAACCAGAGTGGACAAGACCAGGCACTAAATCAGACTGGGGGGAAAAGAACATCATCAATGATGATGTTATTTCCTACACAAAAGATCATGCAAAAGTATTGCCTGATGATCTTCTGAACTTCCCAATACCTTTCTGATGCATTTCAGTCACTTCAAGCCATACTTCCTTCAGATTGAAATACTGTCAAAAGAACTGTCAGACTGATTTGTAATAGACAGTCATAGCCCAAATTAAAAAAGTAAACATTGGCTGTTGATTACATCACTTTTTTCACATGGTGGGGTCGCATTTATTTATTTTTAATCCAAATTGGGTCAGGTGCCAACATTGTTGGGAAACCCCTGGCTTACAGGGTAAGGAAACCAATATGTAATTTTGTAATTTGGGTGAACTATCCCATGACCTAATAGATGTTTTATTTTCTGCATGTATTCAGTTGTCAGTGCTGACCTGTGTTTGTCCTACTCTGCACCACCATTACAGTTTTTGGTGTATTTTTGTTTGTTTTTATGTTTCTATGAGAGAGCTTAGAGTTTGTGTAGAAGCTGGCATTTATGCTGTTTCACTGCAATATACATGTTGTCCAGAAGGTGTCAGAATACAACCAAAAATGCTTTCATGAGCGAGATGAACGTTACAGTAAATAGAAAATAATTTCAAAGGAGGGGTTTTAAACTTATAGAAAGATACATTCTTCCTCTCCTCTCTGAGCAATAAGAGGGAGTAATGCAGTGGGATGGTAGGCGTACAGCTGCCTGCACTGTCAAAGCGGGGAAAGGTTTGAGAAAGATTGGCCCATTTTATGCTCAGATTCAGTTAACTTCAGTGAAAAGCAGCTTGACTTTCTCTACAAACAAATGTAAGAATGGATTGAACTGGGCCTACTAACTCCAAAAAGTTTTGGGACACTGTAAAGTCCATGGAGAATAAGAGCACTTCCTCCCAGCTGCCCACTGCACTGAGGCTAGGAAACACTATCACCACCGATAAATCTACAATAATCGAGAATTTCAACAAGCATTTTGCTACAGCTGGCCATGCTTTCCATCTGGCTACCACTAACCCGGCCACCAACTCTGCACCCTCTGCTGCAACTTGCCCATGCCCCCCCCGCTTCTCCTTCACACAAATTCAGACAGCTGATGTTTTGAAAGCGCTGCAAAATCTGGACCCCTACAAATCAGCTGGGCTAGACAATCTGGACCCTTTCTTTCTAAAACTAGCCGCTGAAATTGTCGCTACCCCTATTACTAGTCTGTTTAACCTCTCTTTCATAACGTCTGAGATCCCCAGAGATTGGAAAGCTGCCGCGGTCATCCCCCTCTTCAAAGGGGGTGACACTCTAGATCCAAACTGCTACAGACCTATATCCATCCTGCCCTGCCTTTCGAAAGTATTCGAAAGCCAAGTTAACAAACAGATCATCGACCATTTCGAATACCACCGTACCTTCTCCGCTATGCAATCCGGTTTCCGAGCTGGTCACGGGTGCACTTCAGCCACGCTCAAGGTCCTAAACGATATTATAACCGCGATTGATAATAGACAGTACTGTGCAGCCGTCTTCATCGACCTGGCCAAGGCTTTCGACTCTGTCAACCACCGCATTCTTATTGGCAGACTAAATAGCCTTGGTTTCTCAAATGACTGCCTCGCCTGGTTCACCAACTACTTCTCAGATAGAGTTCAGTGTGTCAAATCGGAGGGCCTGTTGTCTGGACCTATGGCAGTCTCTATGGGGGTGCCACAGGGTTCAATTCTTGGGCCGACACTTTTCTCCGTGTATATCAATGATGTCGCTCTTGCTGCTGGTGACTCTCAGATCCACCTCTACGCAGACGACACCATTTTGTATACATCTGGCCCTTCATTGGACACTGTGTTAACAAACCTCCAAACGAGCTTCAATGCCATACAACAATCCTTCAGTAGCCTCCAACTGCTCTTAAACACTAGTAAAACTAAATGCATGCTTTTCAATCGAACGCTGCTGGCACCCGCCCACCCGACTAGAATCACCACTCTCGACGGGTCTGACCTAGAGTATGTGGACAACTACAAATACCTAGGTGTCTGGTTAGACTGTAAACTCAACTTCCAGACTCACATAAAGAATCTCCAATCCAAAGTTAAATCTAGAATCGGCTTCCTATTTCGCAATAAAGCCTCCTTCACTCATGCTGCCAAACATGCCCTCGTAAAACTGACTATCCTACCGATCCTTGACTTCGGCGATGTAATTTACAAAATAGCCTCCAACACTCTACTCAGCAAATTGGATGTAGTCTATCACAGTGCCATCCGTTTTGTCTCCAAAGCCCCATACACTACCCACCACTGTGACCTGTACGCTCTTGTTGGCTGGTCCTCACTACATGTTCGTCGTCAAACCCACTGGCTCCAGGCCATCTATAAATCACTGCTAGGTAAATCCCCGCCTTATCTTAGCTCATTGGTCACCATAGCAGCACCCACCCGTAGTCTGCGCTCCAGCAGGTATATCTCACTGGTCATTCCCAAAGCCAACACCTCCTTTGGCCGCCATTCCTTCCAGTTCT